ATCGCGGATTTTTTCCTAATCGATTTATTTTATATGCACGTTTAGTGAATTGTATGTGCTTGCATATCGTTCGAACGCAACTTTGTTCATATCATTTTGCCTTGAGAGTGACTTGCAGCCATTGTGGTCTTCTCTGCTTTCTGATCGGCTTTCACTGTACATTTTACGGTGTTTGCAGCTTCTTTTCTGATCCACCTAGCTGCTTCCCTCGTCTTCTAAGCCAAACTGGTTGCCGAATATCTTACTCTTATGCTCAAAATCTTGGAAAATACTTGGAACCGATCGCAAACTCATGATTTCAGAAAGGTTTGTAAACAACCGTTTGGTATAGTTTGTGGGCAATGTTTCGCTTTCGACACAAAAGTTTCGTCACACCGGGTGTACCAGTCGAGTATTGGTATAGCACTTATAGCGAACGAGTATGATAATCGCGTCGAATGGGATGTAGGCAGAAGGTCAATTGCGTTACAGGTCAACGCATCACTCAAAATGGTGTATGGAACGGTCACAAGTGGTCCGCGTTACAAAGTCACACACGTAAGTCCTGTTAAAGGTGGGTACGGCGATAATGCGTGTTTATTCTCTGTCCTGAATCCGTCCGTCGACGCTCATCAGACTGGCCGGGTTGAAACAGCTCGCCACACGCTCGAAAGTTTCGTCTCGTCCATTCTGTTCACAGCTGTTCACCTTGCTAATCACAACCGTCTCAGTAGTCAGCCTCTGGGGATTTGATCGCAACCCCTTTCTCACCATTTCGTTATCCAAATCGAAGTCATGACCTGTATCTATCGCGCGCACCGCTACTGCCGAATTCCTTAGTTGGATCATATATTCAGGCACATTTCTCGATGGCCGCGTTATGCGTCTCTTGTGTTATACTATCCTTGTGCGTAGATCTCTCGCGGTTTGGTCGTGTATACGTGTGCGCAGTCTGCAGCTGGTTTTATAGACATAATTGCTTGTCCTATCTGCGGTAAGTGGGTCTTCTAAGTGCACCGGTCTAGAGCAGAGCGTTTGATCTTTCCGGAAAATTACCCTTATGTTTTTTTATTTAGGACCCTCCGGATGGCTTCCGAAGTTCAATCTTCATAAGAAATACCTACCGTCCCAGTTCACTCCGTAGTACGCCGTGGGTGAGAATTTAAAATTCGCCTCAACTGCTATTTCACTAACCGCCTCGGGTATCCACTACCATACAGTTGGTTCATTACTTCTTTCTCGGCGGCTTTCCTATCTTCTTTCTCTATGCACAGTGTCTGAGTTCTGTGAAACAGCGGTGACGCGATTCCAGCATACACATGCTTTGGGTGACCTGAACTATAGTGGGGTACACAATCTCTGTCCGTCGGCTTACGACATATTGTTTATAGACTAACCCCCTTCATGTGAATTAGGCTACCAAGGAATGACGATGTTACACTGCAAGATTCTAATTCCATAGTGCAATTTATACTCTCCGCAAGTTATCAAGCGGTTTAGAAACTCGTCTTTCTTATCCCGTCTTATGATAACAAAGGTGTCATCCACGTAGCGCCACCAAATTTTCAGTGGGCTAAAAGAGTCATTCAGCGCCCTCCTTTCAAACTCTTCCATGTAAAGATTTGCCAATACATAGGATATTGGTGATCCCATGGTAAGTCTCTGTTTCTGAGTGTATAAGCTAGATTGGAACTTGATTTAAAACATGTTAAGACACAATGTTATTCCTTCCGTTATTTGATGTACCGTAAGCTTTCTCCTCTCTCCCAGGTTACTGACACCAGTTAGACGGTGTTTCACTATCTCCAGAACGTCGCATATTGGCACGTTCGTAAGGAGCGAGACTGACCGTCATTTTATCCAACTCAATCTCAAGACCCGACACCTTTCTTGCGAAGTCCTAAGAGTTCTTTACTAACGTATTCGTTTCTGTTCCTGTCTTCGTCCTAGTTGGAGGAATTTTCGGGATTTAATGGTCAGGTGGCTAACTTACAACTTCTACTCCCCTGGATCAAACACACGCTCCTGTTTAGATTCCATTGACAGTATCTCAATTCTCATGCAATCGCTTGATTGATAGCGAAGCGACATTACAGCGTACTGGGGTACCATTAAAATGTCTCTTTACTTCCTGATCTGCCACTTTATTTTATTTACCTAACGTAACCAACATACTTTTCGAGCTTCTTTTAAGCTATAGTGCACATGTGTACTGAGAAACCTAATTTTCCGCCATTCAATATTTTACGGCTCTCATCATTCGATTTGCTGATATGCGTGATGATCCATAACGTCGGTTGGCACCCAGGTGTACCACGTAGGATTGCATCCTTTGCAACTGCTTCGCCATTACTACCAGCTTTGCAATAATCCTCTTTCTGATTGTTTGCGACCTTCATGGTTAAAACTTCAATTTAGATGGTCACCGGGGCTTATCATCTCCAGTTGCATAACCAGATAATCTACTCCATGCGGCGGTTTTTGCATACCTGACTTAGAGTTGCTGTTCGCGCCTATACTTTTTCAACTGTCTACTGGCTGCAACACTATCTCCGCACAAATCTCGGTATTTTCTGACCACAACCTGATGTCAACTTTATTGTCTGACTCACATCATAAGGAAGGTTGTGAGCTACAGTATCTAACCCGGTTAACCTCCATCTCTAGCGGTACGCTATCTTTTGTCTTTCAAATAACAGTTGCGAGCTGATTGTGAATACTTGAGCTGATTCTGCTTATTTTACGTAACTTTGGATACCCATCATCGACGGTCGCACTCTGCACCTGCATCAAAAGCGAGGTTTTATTTTTTAAAATTATCAGATATTTTACGTGATGTATCATTTATGTTAGACTAGCTTTCGAAATGGCGCGTTCCGCTCTTATAAAGTAGTTTGTTTCTTTTTTCTTACCGCATTAGAAACAGGTGGTAAATGACGAGGGATGCTTTTCCCCCGAAGCCGGTCCACTTCTCTCTGGCCTTGCTGTACATGGCGAAGGCAGTCAAAAAGGTAAGTTCACCTTTTGTGGAGATTAGCGTTCTCTCTTCCTTTTATTGGTTGCCAATTTTTTTCGTCTTTTTATCTCACTTTCTTACCCAGTTTTGGAATTATTGAAACCTACGGTCCTTCGCCTGGATTCCCTGCAACATAGTTATCCGTACGATTGGCGTACAAAAACCCCTGTGATAACTCGCCTTTCGAATCAGTGGTTTGTGGACACTGACAAAATAAAAAATGCCGCTTTGGTAAGCATATCACACTTCTTCTTATGGTGTACCTTACTTATCTTGTTTAACGTTCGTTCACCCTCCCCATACTTAACCGTCCAAATGAAGCTTTTTGTATGGTAACCTGGATACTTTGTCCCTTCTCCTTCAATCAAGGGGCTAACTTCGTGATGTGCTTTAAAGTTCTCTGACGCCCCATCACCACCTGTCTGAAACAACTTTTCCTGATCTCACTCATTTATACGACCACCAAGGTTGTCTTATTTCCACACCGGCTGTCGTTAACCACGGTAATACTTGTGAGCTCATCTCAGTTGTACATTCTGCGTGTTCCCTGGTCTAACAACCCCACATGTTACCAGCCTGTGTCCGCATCATTCCTGCTCCATTTGTGCGTCTTTGGCTTTTAACTTTTCGCGTTTACTTTTCGTTTTGCGACTAGCAATGCCATCATCTATACGGGAATCCCTCCTTTATTAGTTTTTGCCTCTTAATGCGCAACCGAATGATTTTTTCTCGCTTCCTACTAGGCAAAGAAAATCTGTTAAATGATAATATCCTGTTATCATGTCATGTCATGCCAAGCACTTCCTCATTTTGCGCTCACATCTCTCTAGGATTTGACTCATCTTTTTTTGCTATCAGCCACCTTGAACTGGTCTCAGCCGTCACACTTACCAACATTGCTGCAATCGCGTAAAGCGCTAAATGGGATCCAGTCTATTTCTCGCAAAAGCACAGACTGCTTCATTTTTTGATTGGTTATGTGAAACGGCTGTGTTCGTCGACTCCTGCCCTGTACGCTGAAACGTCACCACAATTTTTTGGACCGTTTATACTCCTGGTATTGAGGTTAAAATGCTAGACAGCTTTACTATGCTACCGCATACCATTGTTAATCCTTGTGAACAACTGAAAATTCAATAACTAATCAACCTGCCCGCTTCACTAAGTGAAAGGAGTGTAATCACCAGTCACCTCTTATCTGACTTTGTGTTGGATTTCTTCGTTCATTGGAAGTATTTCGTGAAAATTTCGATACCATTCAGTTTCATTACTGATTCTGAATTTTTCGACCATACATACTTGTGTTTTCACCGCTTGGTTTCGGCGATTTTGCTCTCGTTATTTTCTCCAGCAATTGGTCTCCATCTTGTCTTCGGATTATTCACAATGCCGAAGCAATCACCCTGTGGTACTTGTTCCAAGATAGTCCGATACCGTGCAAATGCCATCACGTGTGTTTTGTATCAACTTAAATACCACATTTCCAGTGTGGGATTATCAGTTGGGCATTTTCATCGTCTTCGTGATATCCAACACGATTTCGTTCAAACTTTATGTGAAAATTGTCGAAACAAGATACAGCTAGGAAGAGTAAAGCCGACGTGTAGGTTTCATCATTCCGTTGCGAATACCTCCTTGTGCTTGGCCCAACAACCTAGCCCGAAGAGCCTTCAGGTTTCAGCTCATTCTTCCTCCTCTACCCGTGCAAACTCACCGGCACGAAGTCCAACCGTTATGAGAAGCCCAGTTTCACCTGACATAAATTGTTTACTTTCGTTGTGTCCAACGAGCACTGATCTCCCTGAGTGCTAAAGACCGGTGAAAAGAATGAAGAACGTAATTACGAAGGGATGTTGGGCGTTTAACTTCTGTAAGTCAACAGTTAGCCAAACCACGTGAGGCTGGTAATATACTTCGCAAGGTCAGTCTCGTCCGATCAGAAGCGTTATAACCTCGTGATCTTCTACGCGCCGAAGTCCAGTGAATCATCACCCCAAGTGCGCTACGATCATGGTGTTGAGTTTTTACAAAGTTTGATTGACAGACTCCTGGACGCTGGTGAGAACTCGGTAAAACTGAGGCAAATTACTCGCCTTGGAAAGCAAGGTGATCAACGAAATCGGTGTATGAGAATCACCTTTGTGGACGAAGCCAATCCAATACTGATCTTGTCCCATCTAAGTAGGCTGAAATGTTTGAAAATCCATGTTCGTCCAGACCTGGACCCAGTAGACCGGGAACAGCTCAAGTCTGCCATCATTGAGCTGAAAAGACGTACTGGTGAGGGGGAAACAAATCTTCGTATCGTAAACTTTCTGGTGGTTTCCAAGAATCTGCGAATCAGCATAAACAGGTTGCTCACACTTCAAACACACCCGGCGACTCCTGCTGCGGCCTGCGAGTATTCTTTCACAAACGTTTACAGTGTTATGAACAAGGGGAATGAGCTTTGTTGTTTCGTTGCGTCTGAGCAGCCAGACGTTGTGGGACTCGCGGAGACATGGCTGCATTCAGTTATACACCCAGGAACTTGAACTCAACGGTTACTCGTGCTTCCGATGCGATAGACTAACGAATGCCCGGTGTGGTGTCTTGCTCTACATCCGGTCTTCCCTGCGTGGGAGATTTGTGAGCACAAACCGAAGTGAAGATGGTTTGTGTATGCTGCTGTGGTGCTCTATCAGCCTCAGGCGCGGAGAACTACTTGTGGGCGCAGTCCATCGCAGCCCCCTGAGTCGTTGTTTGGATTTGTTGCCCCATCTTCGAACCCACATGAGTCGTCCACACTTTCTTCTTATGGGCAAATTTAACTGTCCTCAAATATGATGGCCTGATGTGCATTTGATGCCTGGACATGGTAAGATTGAAGCAAACTTCGCGGATTTGGTACTTGAAATTTGTGCATCGCAACACATATGCCAGCCAACACGCATAACACCACGCTAAACTCCGTCCTGTCTCGACCTGCTGTTAACGAGCTACGAACAACGAGTGCGTGACGTCCGGATCCTGGAGCCCCTGGCTAAAAGCGACCACTCAGTGCTCATAGTTGATATGGAATTACCCTTGCCGTATTCACGTCTGCTGGAACCCGCTTACAACTACTGAAAAATGGACTTCGATGGTCTATCTCTAGCCGCGAGCCAACTGGATTGGTCTCTGTCACAAGCTGCATCTGTGGAAGACTTTTGGACATTTATAAAAGAGAGATTGACATCATTGTGTTTCCAATTTTTGCCGTTGAAATGTCGGAAGGTTGGACCGATTAAATCTCCTTGGTTTGACAAGGAGTATGAAAATCTGGCTCGGAGGCGGCGCAGACTGTGGGACAGCTTCTTCCTCTCTGGCTCTGACAATGACTACGAAGGATATAAAGGTCAGCGGAACCTCTGAAACAGTGCAAAACGGAATGAGTGCCGACATTTCGAAGAGCAGCTCGCAATCGCCGCGAAGATCGCCCCAAAGAGAATCCTTGCTTACGTGAAGCGATGCCTGAAGCCGGCAGGTGATAGCGCGGATGAACAGCCGCTAACCTCCAGCACTCTGCGTGCGTCCTTGTTGGCGGTGCACTTCGCTTCTGTATTTGCAAATGACCAGGTGTCTGTTCCGAGTTCGACGTGTACCGCTTTTACCGAACTCGACAGTCTGGATTGTGGCGTTGAAGAAGTATGTCAACTACTCGCCAGCCTTGACGACACCAAATTTGCCGGACCTGATGGGCTTCACCCACTGATTCTCAAGTTACTTTCGGCCATCATCACTCCTGTCGTGGCTGACCTTTTCAACTGGTCGCTGTCCGAAGGTTTGTTGCCGATTGACTGGAAATGTTCGGTGATGAAGCCTATTTCGCAAGGCGGCGATCCAAGCAAAGTAGACAACAACAGGTCAATTTGTCTGCCACCTGTTTTGGCAAACGTTGCTGAGAAAATCGTAACAAGGGAATTATTGCAGTTGCTGCAGTCCAAAGAAGTCCTGACGCCGGCACAGCACAGTTTTATGCAAGGCCGCTCATTTATTACAAACCTGCTTGTGGCGAGGCATGCGTGGTTGAAGTCAATAAGCAAGGGGAACTCTATCGACGTCAACATCAAATCAAAATCAACAACAGCCGTTTGAACTGATGCTTTGCTGCCATACAACGATGATTACCTATGAAATAAAGAATAATAAGAGGGAGAGAAGAGGGACTTACTTGAAAATTGTTACTGGAAGCAGAGTAGAATCGATCACAGTCTGAGAATACACTTGAGCGTGCACACTAATCAGAATGGGCGGCACAGATCGTGCTGCTAAAGGAAACAGCATGAATTCCGTGTTGGAGACACATGAGTAGCTGCTGTCTGTACCGGAAGACCTAATCCCCTAATTTGACGGTGTTAAGTGCTTCGCAAAACTTGACATCATCGTCCGCAGTACATCAGTCATTTGAACTGATGCTTCGCTGACACACCATCATGATCACCTATGAAATAAAGAATAATAAGAGGGAGAGAAGGGGGACTTACCTGAAAACCTTGATGCCCTAATCAAACATTCAGGTTCAAGACGCCTACACCTTGTGTAGACAACATACCATCACAAACAGTTTGGTCACGTGCTAAGATAAGGCGGCATCGGCGAGACAGCTTCCTTGCGGCTTTCACTGCCACTCGTCATAATCAGCCATTACCCCGCAGATAACTCAGCACCAAACACACTTTAAACAGGCAATCCGATTAGAAGACTGCAGCAGACGTGCCACTGGTGTCTACTGCGAGCCATGTCCTGTATAGTCTCGAGGCAAGCACAAGCCGAGTCACGTGGACTGCAGCCACAAAGCAGAGACGGCCCACGGGCACCCAGTTTGGTCATCAGTTACTTCATTTCCCGCTGCCAACTCAGCTTCTGTACACCTCGAGCCTTGTGCTACCCTACACCTGGCAGACTAAACAAGGCCCTCCTAGGTAAGCGGTGACCAGGCATAAGTAGCACGTGCCCGAGCCAACGCAACTTATTCAGTACTACCTGTTGTTCTAGAGAGATAGCATGATTATCACTGCCTAGTGCTCACCTACGCACATCATCATTTCGGACACACTGGCACCAACCGACACTAGCAATGCTTCGCAAACAACGATGATCAAAGACTTGAAGGCGCCTCAGATCTTCAAACCGAAGGGGCCAAGTTTCACTACCATAGAGCAGAACGGCCCTCACTGTGGCCTTGTATACACGGCCTTTCAGACATAGGG